ATGTCCCCGAGACAGGGGACTCCATTTTTCCCGTCTCCAGGAGCCCCCTCGATCTGATCATGTGTCCAAGCCTCCCAGGCAGGGATGGGGAACCCCCCCTTTCCCATTCGGGGTGGGGGGAAGGAATCCAGAGATGCCCTTTTGCAATAGCCGCTCTATGGGGTCTTCCCACGCCCACCATCCCTTTCTAAAAGTCTGATAATGCTTCCAGCCAGGACAGCTCTGAGAACAGGAGCTGGACCCCAAAAAGGGTCACCCCCTGGGCCGAATCTCGGGAACCGAGAAAAGCGTGCGGGGCCGCACAAAATTCAGCAGCGGCTGGCGAAACGGACCAGCGGGTTTAGACGTCACTTGGCTCAGGTGGGCTGCCAACGGGACGGAACTCCTCCAAAGTAGACTGTGGACCGCTATGGGCCATCGTAGGGCAAAAGTGGAACCTCTAGAGCTTGAGATAGTCTATCTCAGAAAACCAGTTTCTGCGGAGGAACAGGAAGGAAAGGTCCTGCTTTCCTGTCTGTGAGTTTCCCAAATTGTCACCCAGGGCTGGTGCTGTGGGGGAAGAAAGATCCTGAGCCCCCCCCATTGCCCCGTTCTGGCAGAGCGGCTGAGTCCCGTTTCGGTTTCCTCACTTCATTCTTCATCAAGGTACTTGGCTGGCGTCTTAAAACCAGGGGCCCTCGATTGGACTACACCTCCCAGCGTTCTCTGAGCCTGCACAGCCACCGATGGGCTGTGTCCGCACAAGCTCATTGCAGGGCGACCGGACCTCTCTTTGCCCCCAGGTTCAGTCCCAAGCGGGCAGAGGCTCTAGAGAAGACCATTTTTTTCTCCCTCTCTTCCTCCTGCAAAGACTGCCTTCAAACCTGGGGGGAAAAACCAACTCTCTTTTCCCACCTATGTTTAGAAAAAAGGGGGAAAAGGTATTCTGAACTCCATGATATATATATATTTCTGTGCTAACGTCAGGTGAATCCTGAGCCTCTCCTGGCCTCTGCTGGCCATGCGCTGCAGGAACGTCTTTCTGCTGCGCATCCCTTCCACGCCTCCTTCTGGCAGGAGAGCCCTCGCTTGCCAGCGCTTCTTAGGGCTTAGCAAAGGCTTCCCTCGAGGTAAATAAGAGGCCCAAAACCTTTCAGGGACACTCAACCCCAATAGGAACTCTGCTGAGCATGCACAGAGGTCCCGTCTCCCACCCGTGCACCATGCTTCCGCACCTCAACGATTAGAAGGTGTGTGTGTGTGTGTGTGTGTTCAGATTTAAACACACCAATAACGCCAAGGCACACTTTTAAAAGGGGGGCCGAGAAAGGTCGCTTGAGGTCCGTATGCCATTGGCGACCGGACCTCTCTTTGCCCCCAGGTTCAGTCCCAAGCGGGCAGAGGCTCTAGAGAAGACCATTTTTTTCTCCCTCTCTTCCTCCTGCAAAGACTGCCTTCAAACCTGGGGGAAAAAACAACAACTCTCTTTTCCCACCTATGTTTTAAAAACATATATATTTTTTCTGTGCTAATCTCTTTTCTTGTCTCCTTTGGGCGTTGGGTGAATCCTGAGCCTCTCCTGGCCTCTGCTGGCCATGCGCCGCAGGAACATCTTTCTGCTGCGCATCCCTTCCCCTCCTCCCTCTTACAGGAGAGCCCTCACTTGCCAGCACTTCTTAGGGCTTAGCAAAGGCTTCCCTGGAGGTAAATCAGAGGCCCGAAACCTTTCAGGGACACCCAAAACCTTTCAGGGACACTCCTATTGGGGAACTCTGCTGAGCATGCACAGAGGTCCTGTCTCCCACCCGTGCACCATGCTTCCACACCTCAACGATTAGAAGCTGTGTGTGTGTGTGTGTGTGTTCAGATTTAAACACACCAATAACGCCAAGGCACACTTTTAAAAGGGGGGCCGAGAAAGGTCGCTTGAGGTCCGTATGCCATTGGGAGGCGAGGGGGTCACTGCCAAATGGCATTCCGGACCTCCGAGCTGCCCGATAGAGCCGGCTCCGGCCAGCGGTAGGAATGAGGGCACTGGGAAGGCCTTCCTAGCGGAGGGGAATCGTGGGGTGATCCCTGCACAGCTTCAGCTGTAAAGGCGAGGAGGGGGCTCTTAGCAGGAGCTCATCACTCACCAATGAGCATGGCGCAGGATGTGCAACCTCCCCCATAGTTCTTAGGGTGCCTGCACCGAGGCGCCAGAGTGCAGAAAAAGGAGGGTGCCTTAGAAATGCATTAATATAAAGCAAAGTCAAGCAAAGGGGTCCATCCAAACTTTAAAAAGGAAAGCCTTTAAAAGCGGCATGTCTGTGTTGCAGAGAAGGGGTTCATCCACCACGACTCCTCTTAGGATTCTCAACTAAAGCCATTCTGATTTGTGCATGCGCGGACTACAACCCTCAGTATCCTCCAGGCAGCCCATGGCCAGCCTGCCTGGAGGCATTCGGGGCGCCGCAGTCCAAATCACCGCACGGCCCTGCTCTCTGCTCACAATCCCCCAAACCCTAACCCTCTCCCTGCTCCCCATTTTTCAGCCGGCTCTTTCTAGCTTTGGAACACAGTTTGCCACTGGAGGGGACACCGGGTCCCAGGAACGTTTGCAAGGCTGAAACCCGGGCCAGACACCTGCCACTCCGTATTAGAAAGGTCAGATTACCTAGGAAGCCTAGGGAGCAACTTTCCCCAAGCCGGTGCCTCCTAGATGGTTTGGACTACGACTCCTGCATGCCTGGAAGCATGCCTGCCTAGCTGGGGAGCAACAGGCTTCCGGACCTCCGAGCTGCCCGATAGAGCCGGCTCCGGCCAGCGGTAGGAATGAGGGCACTGGGAAGGCCTTCCTAGCGGAGGGGAATCGTGGGGTGATCCCTGCACAGCTTCAGCTGTAAAGGCGAGGAGGGGGCTCTTAGCAGGAGCTCATCACTCACCAATGAGCATGGCGCAGGATGTGCAACCTCCCCCATAGTTCTTAGGGTGCCTGCACCGAGGCGCCAGAGTGCAGAAAAAGGAGGGTGCCTTAGAAATGCATTAATATAAAGCAAAGTCAAGCAAAGGGGTCCATCCAAACTTTAAAAAGGAATGCCTTTAAAAGCGGCACGTCTCTGTTGCAGAGAAGGGTTCATCCACCACGACTCCTCTTAGGATTCTCAACTAAAGCCATTCTGATTTGTGCATGCGCGGACTACAACCCTCAGTATCCTCCAGGCAGCCCATGGCCAGCCTGCCTGGAGGCATTCGGGGCGCCGCAGTCCAAATCACCGCACGGCCCTGCTCTCTGCTCACAATCCCCCAAACCCTAACCCTCTCCCTGCTCCCCATTTTTCAGCCGGCTCTTTCTAGCTTCGGAACGGAGTTTGCCGCTCGAGGGGACAGTTCGGGTCCCAGGCTAAAACCCGGGGGTGGTTATGCATGAGTCTCTCTTGATTTCCTTTCCCGTTGATCACAACACGGCCTGCCGCTTCTAAGCACCGGACTGCCAGATGGCTCAGTCATTTTTGGTCTCTTTTGGCTCAGCTGGAAGCCTTAAAATGATGAGAAAGAAGATTGCCCAGACGTGCAATCTTTGGATAAGAGGACCTGGGTGTAGACGGGAGACCGCCGGCAGATTTGGGCAGATTTCCTCCCCCCCGGGCTGTGGAGGGGGGAGAAAAGGAAGGGCCCTGGGACCACCGATGGGCAGGAGGTACCTGTGGTTTTGATAACCGCCTCCTGGAACATCCTTTCTTCATGCTCCTTAATGATCTTGGTCCCCCCAGTGATGGCTCCATCATAGCTGCCTGTCAGGGCATAATCGATGCTCAGGCGCAGCTGACGCAGAAGGGTGTTGAACATCTCCAGCACGGTGGGCCCTGGAAGGGAAGGGAAAGGCTTACACCTGGATTTCCGACAGAGATAAGCCTTAGGGAATCCTGACCAAGCCTGGCTCTCTCCAGATCCGTGTCGGGACTACAGTGCCCATCATCCAATAGCCAGCAGTGCGGAATGAGAGGCCCTGTAGTCCAGGTTTTCAAGCTGCAGAAGCTGGGATCCCTGGGTGGACCCTTCTCTACTTTTGCCTATATTATGGGATACACGGATCCTGGACTTCCAAGGGGTGGACACAGAGAAAGACAAGGAGGGTCACACCATCCACACCCGTAACAAGAATCAAAAGCGAGCCGTACGAGACGGGTGGCAGAACCGAGAAATGGGCCACGGGAAGCAGAAAGGGTCAGGAAAGGGGGGTGCTTAACCTTTGACCTGCCTCCTTATAATCCTGCCTCAGCTCCTTTTGCAGGGGAGAAGGTTTTTCTTTCCAGGAGGCCAACGTCCGTGTGTGGTGTGAAGATTGAGGTCATGAGGTGGGCAACTTGCCACCTGCAGGCTTACAAGTAGCCCTGAGGGGCTCAAACGTGCCACCCTCACTCAGCCCAGCACGAGGCCCTCCACACACACACACACACACAAGATGACTTTTGAAAATGCTTTTGGGTTCAAAAAAGCCCCCTTGTGTTCTGTAGGGCCCACGGGGACCATTCTGCTGTATCGTGAAAGACTCCAGAAATCTTAGAGTCCTGCTTGGGGAAGAGGGAGAAGCCTTCTCCTGCCCTTTAGGGTTGCGTTCTTTAAATTAAAAAAAAGAAAATGAAATTAATTTTATTTTTTAAATTAATTTTTTAAAAATGAATAAAAAATACAACCCCTAGAGGGCGCAAGAGGGCTTTTCTCTCCTAGCACTCCCATTCCGGTAAGGGGTTTCTGGGAGGTTGGAGGGTTGGGACGCTGGAGGCAGCCCCCCCCCGAGGCTCAGGCAGGCGAGGTGGGCAGCCCACAAACCTCTGGATGCAGCCCTTCCTGTTCGAGGAGACAAATGCAAGCCATAAACAGCTTTCGAGAGGCTGCTCAAGAGAAAGCTGCTTCACAGAAGCTTATTAGGAGCATCTTCTCTTGTGCCACAATGCATTTACGCCACCCGCCCCACCATCGTTAAGGTTTAGATTTTAGGATTTACGTCAGATTTATTAGAATACAATAGAATTTATTAAGTACGTCCGTGTGTGGTGTGAAGATTGAGGTCCCGAGGTGGGCAACTTGCCACCTGCAGGGGCTCAAACGTGCCCCCCTCGCTCAGCCCAGCACGAGGCCCTCCACACACACACAAAAAAGATGACTTTTGAAAACGCTTTTGGGTTCAAAAAAAGTCCCCTTGTGTTCTGTAAGGCCGACGGGGGCCATTTGGCTGTCTTGTGAAAGACTCCAGAAATCCTAGAGTCCTGCTGGGGGGGGGGGGGGCCTTTTTGG